TATTTTTTGGTTTCGCTGGATTGTATGCATCTCTGTGAAAAATGATTCCCCCTCGCTGATGTATGTGTCAATGTTACGAAAAGATGTGATTTGAGTGGGTTTTGTGCAAATGTTGAATATTGACTTGACGCTTGCAGGTGCAGCGTTGCCTTGAAGAAGCAAAGCCACGCTCGCCGGGCTTGATTTGCAACCATGGCATCACTCGGCGACTTTGCGGAAGGCGGAGCCAACGAGGAGTTCAGTGACATCATCAAGTCGCGATCAGGTAGGTTCAGTTATTGGTTTAGGGGTTAGTTTTGATGCTATATTGTTTAATTTATGGACAGTTGTCAACCATGGCAGGTTTTAAGCAATTATCTTCAAAATTTTTTGGGTGGGTTTGGATAGTTTCACTTTCCAGCGTCGAGCCAGTAGTGAAGTGCAGTTTTGGAGGAACAACCGGAGATACTTGTTGGAAAGGACAAAGAGAAAGTCACCTAAATGTGATCAATCGAGAATGGTGAGATGCCAAAAAAAAAAAAAAAGGGGCTACCACTTGATCACTTCCTGCTTGGATTATTCCACACCGTAGTCAAAGAATTCCTTTTCAAGGAATGAATACAAGTGTCACTATGCGCAAGTGGAAAAATAAGTCAAATGAGTTAAATGGGTCAAAATAACATCCAGAAGTACAATCTTGAAGCACCATAATGAGGCACAGCTCCCGCAGAGTGAGAGTAGAGGCGCGCCCTTCTCAGACAATTGGGCGTTCAAGAGTTATTGTCGTTGCTCTCTGGCTATTTTCGACACCGTAAATTGGTTAATAAGTGCGTCCAATTTGAACAGATGATGTCCTCCAGACCAAATAATATTGATGAATATAAATGTGACCATATTTGGAACGGAGCACGGACAGTGACGCAACGTGGTTCTAATGTTCTTCATATGTGCAATGAATAGAAAGTCACCACTTCAACGAAAAATTAGCATATTTTCCCCCCTCCCGCTAGCTTTGCGCTAGTTTTACTTTCCTATCCTATTGCCCTGCCTCGCTGGTCCCGCGCCAGGAATTCCGCTGTGCCGTCGCAGTTTGTAATTTACGTCTGTGTCCAAACCACAATGGCTCCGCTCTTGCAAAGATTCAGGTTTCCTAGCAACACCCCCCCAACCCTCCCAAAGTAATGTTTTTTTTTTTTTAAATGGCATACTATGATGGGGGGGGCGGAATTTGGCATGTAGCTTCGTCACTGACCCCAAAACACATGAAAAAAATACAGGAAAGGTTTTACTATCCTGCAGGTCTCATACTGTGAGTGCGTGAGGGGGGATTACGTGAAGTTTGCTTCAGTCATAGGAAACGGCTTTAAACCGCACTGCATGCATGGCTCACGTACCAACTAAGAGCTTTTTAAAAGTGTTACTTACACAAACATTTAAGGTTGATGCTGAGAAAAACGGCATGTGT